AAGGATATGTCAGTTATTGCACAAAATACTGAAATAGGTAATGTAAATAATTGTATTGAAATAAAATGGCTTTTAGATAGTGGTTGTACAGACCACATTATTAATGATGAAAAATTATTTGATAAATGTAAATTACTTAAAGATCCCATTAATGTTTATTTAGGAGATAATAGGGTTGTAAAAGCTACTAAAATTGGAAATGTTTTAAGTTACTTTGATGCTTTTGGTAAAAAGAGTTTAGTAGATAATGCAAAATGTTTTCTATGTTAAAGATATGAAATCAAATTTGATAAGTTATAGCAAAATAACAGAAAATAATAAGATTATTTCTCTAGGTAATATTTCAAAAGTTTTTGATAAACTTGGTAATATAACAGCAGTTGCTTTAAAAAATAATGGCTTATATATTATGAAAAGTAAATTAAAATCAGTTGAATTGCATGTAAATGTTGCAAATAAAGATATGAATAATATGAATCAAAAGGAAAAATGGCATCGTTTATTAGGTCATGTAAATTTTAAATATTTGAATATTTTATCTAAAGATCAGCTGTTGAATGGAATTCCTAATGAGTTTGAATCTGAATTTATGAAATGTAAAATTTGTATTGAAAGTAAAATGCATAATATTCCGTTTGTAAACAGTAGAAAAAAAGCTAAAGATATTTTAGAGATTGTACATACTGATGTTTGTGGGCCTTTTCGAACTACTGGGTTTAAAGGTGAAAATTATTTTGTTTCTTTCATTGATGATTATAGTAAGATTTCTAAAGTATATGCTATAAAATCAAAAGCAGAAGTATGTGATTGTTTGAATGAATATACGAATGAAAGTGAAAATTTGACTGGAAAGAAAATAAAGATTTTAAGATGTGATAATGGGAAAGAATATTTGAACAGTAAAGTCTACAGATTTGCAAAAGAAAGGGGTATAGTAATTGATAATTGTCCTACATATGTACATGAATTGAATGGGACTGCAGAACGGTTTAATCGAACTATAATGGATATGTCAAGATGTTTGTTGGCTGAAGCAGATATTCATAAAAAATATTGGCCTGAAATAGTTTGTGCTGCGGTTTATTTGAAAAATCGTACTTTATCTGATACAATTGAAAAGAAAACTCCATATGAAATATTTTTTGGACAGAAACCTGATGTTTCTAATTTGCGTTTGTATGGAAGTAAAGTTTTTGTACGAAGACCAGAACAGAAGAGAATCTCTAAATGGGATAAGAAAGCTGATATGGGAATTTTAATTGGTTATAGTAATGTTGGTTATCGTGTATTATTAAATGGCAGAGTCATTGTTGCTAGACACGTGGATATTGTTGAAGAAAACGTTAAGTGTATAGGTTTAGACTTTAACGAATCAGATAATGATAATAATGAAGAGTGTTACCCTGATAAAATTGATGAAAGCTCTGAAAATGACTCAATAGATGAAACTTTTGAAAGTACAAATGAAAGTATGGATGATAGTGTGAATAAAAATGAACCTGAGTTACCTAGATCTCACAGAGCCAAAAATCCTCCAAAGAAATTTGATGACTACTATGTATATAATAGTAGTATTTTTGTAAATATGTGTAGAACTGATATACCACATACATTTGAGGAGGCGATAAATTCTAATGAAAGTAAGTATTGGAAAACAGCTATGGACAAAGAAATTGATAGTTTAAATAAAAGTAAAACTTGGAAATTGGTTAAAAATGATACAAACAAAAATATTCTGGATGTTAAATGGGTTTATACTAAAAAGTCTGATAATACTTATAAAGCTAGATTGGTTGTACGAGGTTTTCAACAAACTGATGAAATTGATGATATTTATTCACCTGTGGCTAAAATGCAAACATTAAAGATTTTATTGTCATATTGTTGTCAAATGGGCCTAGTAATTGAACAAATGGATGTTGAAACAGCCTTTTTAAATGGTAAAGTAATTTCTGAAGTTTATATTAAACAACCTAAGGGTTATGAAGATGGAACAAGTAAAGTTTGTAAATTAGTTAAAGCTTTATATGGTTTAAAAGAAAGTCCAAGGGCATGGTATGAGTGCCTAGATACATTTTTGATAAATTTAGGTTTTGAAAGAAGTAATATTGATCCTTGTTTGTACGTTTATAAAATTGGAAATGATATTATTTACTTATTAATTTATGTCGATGATTTACTGATTTGTGGTAGAAATTTAAATGAAATTAAAAGGATTAAAATTTTATTATCAGAAAAATTTAAAATGAAAGATATTGGTGAAATTAAAGAATATCTTGGTATTACTGTTGATTATGATTCTAGTAAACATGAAATGAGATTGGATCAAAATAAATATATTGAATTATTAAGGAAAAAATATAATTTAGAAAAAGGTAAACTGTATAATACACCTATGGAAGTAAATTTAAAAATTGATAAATCTGATCATTGTGAAAGAAATATTAAATATAAAAATTTAATTGGTGCACTATTATACATAAGTTCGGCAACAAGGCCTGATATAAGTTTCAGCGTAAATTATCTGAGTAGATTTCAAAATTGCTATAATGAAACGCACTTTAAATATGCTGTACGAATTTTGAAATATTTATGCTTAACTAAAGATTTAAAATTGTTTTATAACAGAAATGAAAAAGTAAGTATTATTGATTGTTATGTGGATGCCGATTGGGCAGGTGATCATTTAGATAGAAAGTCTACAACTGGTTTTGTAATAAGATTGTTTGGTAATGTAATTTATTGGAAATCTAGAAAACAAAAAAGCGTTACAAAAGCTTCAACTTTTGCAGAGTATGTAGCATTGTCAGAAGCAGTAAGTGAATTGATATTTGTAAAAGAATTGTTGAAAATATTTGATATTGAAATAATAAAGCCAATTGATGTTTATGAAGATAACACTGGTACAATTAGTATAGCTAATTATGGCAATTTTACAAAAAATTCTAAGCATGTTGAAATTCATTATCATTATGTAAATGATTATGTTAAAGCAAATGTTATAAATGTGGTTAAAGTAGATTCTGATGATAATATTGCAGATATTTTTACGAAGTCCTTGGGCCAAGATAAATTTGAAAAATTTCGAAGTATGTTAAATTTGAATTAATGTAAATACAATGTAAATGTAAGGAGGCGTGTTGAGAATGTAATACATTTATATTGTATACACAGATATATTGGTGTAAGAGTAAGCGGAACGCACCCATAGTGTCATGGGTTGACATGACAGACAATAATAGTAATGTCAATGAGTATCATGTAGTTGTAGGTAGTAGTAAGAAGTATGGTGGCTTAAGTTAGGTTAGTTAATTAGTATGTATGTTATAGGAAATAAAGCCTTTTATAATAGTAGTAAAGTACGACTATTTATTTTCCAAATCCACACCTTAACAGTATATAAATCTAACTATATCTTCTCCCTTCAATATGTCTCTTAGTTCATTCTTCTTCTCATTTCTCCGTTGTCCATAATCCGTCTGAGGATTTTCCGAAAATTCTCAATTTTTTTCATCTTTATCCGCGAGTCATATTGTCTCAGCTGCGTACGTAACTACTGGTCTGATTGCAACTATGTATATTTTCAGTTTTGTATTTCTAGATAAGTTCTTGTCCATAAGCCTATGATATCTCCAGCATGTTTTGTTACCTGCTATTATTCGTTCCGTTACTTCTTCACTTCTCGTTTTGGCCATTCACTATTACTCCTAAATATTTAAATTATTGGACTCTTTCAAAAATGTAGTTTTCTATTTTGATTTCTCTCGTCCTGTTATCTTCTCTTCTAGAGCAGAATAGATATTTTGTTTTTCCTTCGTTAATTTCTAGACCTCTTTTCCGTGCTTCTTTTGCCAGGATTGTTACTGCTTCTTTTAATTTTTTTTTATTCTTGCCACAATTATCAGCTGTTTTCTTTATATTCGTTTCGATGTTTTTCTTTAGTTGATATCCATTTATCTCTTGCTTGGTTTTTCTGTTTGATTTCGCATTCTGCATCAAACCACTATTTTTATTTCCCTCTGTCCTAGCACCTCTTCAGCTGAATTCTTTTATATTTTTCCATATGTTCTCTGCTTCTGTTAGATTTTCCTTTCATATTGTTCTTAGTTCCTGTACTTTTAACTTCTCCAGGTTCCATCTTCTTTTGTTTTGTCTTGTTCTCTCTGCTTTATCTTCATTTTGATTTCTCCTATTACTAGAAAATGTTATGTGTCCACGTTTGCTCCTCTATATGATCTGACATCGTGCATTATTGCTTTCCATTTTTTGGATATTAGTATGTGATCTATCTGATTACATTCTGTTGTGCCAGGTATCAACTATCTTACTTTATGTTCTCTTATGTGCATATTATGTAACTGTTTGTTATTGCTGCTAGTTGGTATAATTTTCTTCCGTTATCGTTTGTCTCGTTATAGTTTCTTTCCCTGCTACTTCCTTATACTCGTTTTCTTTGCCTACTTTTGCATTGAATTCACCAACCATTAGTACTATATCATTTCTGGGTAACCTTTTATATAATTCTTCCAGTTGTTCATATAATTCAATTTTATCATTTTCTATGGGTACATATATGTTTGTCATATTGGCTTGTTTGTTTTCTATTTTTATATACGACATTCATCCATTTATTGCTTTAAATTCTATAACTTTGTTCCTAATCTTATTGTTAACCATGAATGCTGTACTGTTTTCCCCGTGTAGCTTTTCTTTCTGTTATATTACATGTTTATGAAAATTAATTACTACAAAAAGCGATCTTGTCGTGAAACTTTAGCTTCACCAACAAATAAGTTTCACGGATATTCTTTGTTTGCTGATACATTCAGAGAAGCACTGGTCTGAATAAATGTGTGGCTGATAAATATGTGCTATTCTTCAAAAGAAACTAAAACTTGTACTCAAGACAATTTCATTAAAGGGACTATTTGCATTTATAATGAGACATAGAATTATACCTGTGAGTTTATTGTTTCAGGATAAAATAAATCAAAAACAAGTATTAGTGTCAACTTTTATTGTTTACACCTATAAAAACATTTATTTAGCTTTCTTAGACTTAATCTTACGAATGTAGAATTCCAGTTCTTTGCCTTCCAAGACATAACCATCAGCTCTACCACATTGTCCTGGCCTTGATGCTAAGCAAGCTGTAAAAAAGGGTTTATTTTAGCAAAAGAAATAAGTTTTCATTTAAGCATCTATTAATTTAGGGTAAAAATCAGAGTAACTATGACAAGCAAGTCATTGCTCACAAGGGTCAATTCAAAACGAATGAATCCTTTTGATGTGAACTCGCTAAATTTTATCATCATAATGATTTTAACAAGAAATTTTATTGAGCGCATAAAATAATGATTTTTAAGTTGTAATAGATGCTAGCCTGTATTTCATACCAATGTATCGAGAGTCTAGATCAAATATTATTTTAATATTAAAGTAGTATTTATGCTTGAATCAAATTTGATTCATGTAGGGACACATTTAGTTACTTGTAAAGTACAAGTTTTGTACAAGAAGTATTAATTATAGTTAACCATGTTTTAAGTATCTGATAGATAAAATTTGTTTTAGCAGAATTAAAAATTGACATTTTCATGATTTTTATAAGGAAATACACTTCTCCAAGAAATTAACGCACCCTTTAAATATTAAAACATTTTATTAGCGTTAATAAAAATTTTCACTGTAATGTTATATTTTGCAAATCCCTTGTATATGCTATTCCTACACACTATATTTATTGACTTTATTTTATCGCTACAGTTTTTTTTGCAACAAAACAAAAAGAAGCAAAAAATGTACTAATTCTATAAATATTAACCCACATAATTTAACCCGTGAAGATGTGCACAAGCAGTGATACTGTCAGAAGAATGTTAGAGTTACCGAAGAATTGGTTGTCGGTTTAATGTGTGCCACACATCCGTCTCACAGGTGTTAGAAAGATACTTTGAAACAGGGGATCATACTCACAAACCAGGGCAGGGAGGAAACCGGGTAACTACCCCTATTCAAGATTGATTTTCAAGAATTTCTGCTTTTGACAATGTTTTTTAACACATCAAAGTCTACAAATTCAGCTTCGAGACATGCATGCTAAGCAATTTAGTACTGAAACTGTTCGCAGCGACTTATGGGACAGGGAGTATTTATCTGACCGCATGTACGGACCTAGTGGTCATACAAAATGGAACTGTTACAGCTAAAAGGTACATATTGGATATCCTGGAGCAACATGTAGAACCTTTCACTTCTTATATCGATGAAAATTTCTTACTAATGCAAGATAATGCCAGACCTCATGCTGCACAGATCGCCAGAAATTATCTAGAAGAGGTAAAAATTAATATTATATAATGGCTAGCACATAGTCTGGATTTAAATCTGATTGAAAATCTCTGGCATATCCTTGGTAGGCGATTAAGAGCAACACTGATTCAACTAAACAAACTTACACGAAGTGGAAGGGAGGCTGATCCAGATTTGAAGAGAATTTGACCAAAATGAAATACAGCAATTTATTTTAAGTATGGGCCAACGATGTGAGACTGTTATACGTAGTAGAGGTGGAAACACTCGTTAATGAGACTTTTTTCATATTTTAGTTTTACTATTTTTATCATTATTTTTTTTTTAAATTTTCAGTTTTATTTTTTTTTTCTCCTGTACTTCAACATTTTCTGATGATTAGTACATTGTTATAATTACTAATAAAATGTAGAATAAATCTGGTAGTTTTATTTTTTGCCTGTTTACAAATTGATTTATTGAAGTGTTCTTGGAGAAGTGTATACGAAATGAGTATACAAAGTATGAAATTGTTAAGAGAAAAATGTTTATAATGTATAAATTCATTATTCTTCGCTCAAACAATTATTATAAGATTTCCAATTATCAGCATAAAGGGTTGTCCTTGGAAGAACCCATTTCTTAATTATCTGAGTATCTACATCTATTGTTTCCACTGGCAACACAAAGCATGGACATTATCCAGATAACCTTGCAACGAAGGTAGCCACAAATGATGCATGACAGAACAAAATATTGGTATTTGGTATTGGTGTTGAAATTTACATAAAAATGAAACATGCAATCAATAGCAATAAGATATATAAAAATTAATAGTTTATAATTATCAAAAAAGAAAATGTAAATAATAGTAAAGTTAAAATAATAAATAGTAAAATTTCAGAATAAATAATAAAGTTAGAACAACATCTGTTGTAATCTGTCAACGGGTGGTTTGAGGGTAAATTTGAGGAATTGCAAAAAAAAATTCGAATGAACTACTATTAATATCAAAAGAAACAAATATTAAATGTTTTATATAACTTAAAAATTTCCAGAATCTATAAAATAATATAACAAATGTACTGTTTGAAGTTTCAAAGCTTTCTCTATGTATATTTGAGATATACAACATATGGCCATGACAACACCACCAACTGCAAATATTTCATTTTATGGATATTCTTTGTAGCTAACTTCACCAGTGTTATCTGGATTAGATGTGATACACCTTGTAGCAAAATATCGAAATTGTAGCTTGATAAGGAACACAGGAAATTTTTGTTTCAACCATTGAATATGAATATTCGATACTTTTGTTTTTGTATAAATATAACTAAAGGATATTTGTACAATGCAAAATGATGTATGTGTCACATTCATTAGTTTCAGTGTTGTAATTGATAGATATTCAATTATAATCTGCAAACTGTGGAAAATACTAAATATTGCTGACAAGAACAAAACTCATGTGTTCACAATTGTGTGAATTATTATTGCTTCCAAGAGGTTCTTTCGGTGAGGTACTTTATCATTTTGTTTTTATCAGTTTCTCATTACCTGATTATTCTGTTAACTGGGTATAGCTAAACCAGAAACAGTGATGTTGTCAAAACAAGAATTAAAAAAAAAAACATTAAAGAATGCTGCCTTTGGGATGTCGTCCACACAGTGTAATTCCCCTTTTCAATACAAACACTTCGAAAGAAAAGATGCAGAGAGAAAAAAAAGGGATGAAGATAAACAGTCTGCTTTGAAGAATAGGAAAATATTAGCATTTAATTTCTATCTTCAATTTGTTTTGTCAACGCCTAAAAGAGCTGCAGGACCTTGTGTTTATGTGAGAAAACTTTTTATAATTTGGCCATTTATTATTTAAGAGAAGGAAGCATCCAGTGTTTGATATAGGATGAAACCGAGGCAAAACGCGGTGGTACTGAAATTGCTACATATATATTTAAATACATCAGGTCTTACCCTGATATTAAACTCGTCAAAAGTGATGTCCGACAATTGCAAAGGACAACAGAACAATTTTGCTTTTTCTACCATCTGTCAATATGTTGTACCCAAATTTAAAAACAATTGACCATGTCTTTTTTGTACCGGGTCACTCAGAAATGGATTGTGATTCTGTCAATTCAAAAGTTGAATCTAACTGAAAAATTCCCCTGTATAGGTACACCCTTGAAGGAAGTGACATACACTTCACAACGACTTCTTAGATTCCAACCAGAGAAAAGTGACATTTGTACTAGAAAATAAAATAAAACCAAAGAAGAAACAAAATCAATATTATAAAGAAAATGAAGTAAAAGATGAAGAGCAAACAAGTAATGGAAATACTAATTTTAAATATAGTGATGGTATACAGTACAAGTATCAGCAAAATGAAAATACATTTTTATGAAGACTAGAATTGATGGAAACTTTTTATCACTTGAAACCAAACAAAAAAAAGAGGCCAATAAAATAGTATAAAAGTGAATGTGAACAAAACTTATTACCTAGGCCATACCACCAATCTTTACCAACATCTAGTACTGCGAGATATTGTGTTCCAGAACCTTTAATTCCATTGTCTTCCATAACGTTTAATTTAAAACTTTTAATTTACCATTATTTTACACCAATTGAGGATAATGAGAGTACTTGAGGTGTCTACAGGACATGAAGTTCCATAATTAATGTTTTTTACGTTTCTAATTACATTAATTTTCTAGCAATACATACTTTCATAAAAATACTTTAACAATTTTTTAAACATAATTTTTCTATTTTATCCTACAACTTTAATTTTTAATTAAATCATTTGTAACAAACTTTGTAAGAATATTAAAATTATTTTAATTTTCCTCATTTTTAATTAAGAATATTTATACAGAATATACAAATTTGTTAACATTAGACCAATATGAACTGTCGAAAATGCCACATTCGCAATTTTGAAACATTGCACCAAATGAATGTGTAAAAATTCTACCAATATAAACAGACGAAAATGCCACATTTGCAATTTTGAGACATTATACAAAAAAAAATAGTTGATTAACACAAAAAGCAAAGTATCAAATGTGATTTTTTGGAAAGAAATAAACAGTAAACAATTTAATTCTTTTATCAATCTAACAAGGATTAAACATTAAATATAAAAATTTTTCCATTTGTCAAGGCGCTGATTTAGGTTTCACTAAAAAAGAGTTATTTTGCTCTCCTGAAAAGTACTACTTTTCACATTCGATAGTTGGAAATGGTAGGGACAATATATATTATAAAAACATCCAAACACTGCCAAACAGAAATATTTTTTTCTATGGTTGATAGTTGCATATATAATCAGCTTGTACTTTCATTAATACTAATCGGATTATACTATGCAAATAAGCATTTGCAATGAAAATCCTCATTAAAAAATTGTTCATTATTGATTACCTAATAATCTTCCAGTTTGGAATTGTTCCTCTAGAGCAGGTTCTACTTTAGCTGTTTTTTGCCTAGTTTCATATTTTTTCTGTACTTTTTTACTACGTTTCTTATTGAAAATTTCTTCATCTTCTGTTGTCTAAAACATAATATAAAAAAGTAAAGGTCCAAAAACATATGAATGTCAAATTTTACATGTTTTTGAATTTTAAAGATCAGTAATGTATATAAATACGTTATAATCATGAGTTTCAGATGACACGCATGAATGTAAGCATCATGTGGAACAAAAAACATTGTATTTACTATTTTAGGGTATTTAAACATTTTTGAAAAGTACAAAATGATAACTAACTATTTAAGACTATGCAAGAGATAAATACTTTATTTAGTTTGTCAAAACCATGTGGTAGTCAATAATTAATATCCCAAAAACCCTAAAAAGTAAGTCTTGTGTTACTTACCAATTTTGCCCCCTTCTTGCGCCCTAAAGGTAAAATGTAGTGATTTTCATACCATTGTCTGAAAGGGGTTGCATCAATAACAACGATGGCATTTTTTACCAATGTTTTGGTACGTACCAATTCGTTATTACTGGCATTGTAAACGACATCAATAATACGTGTTTTACGAGCAGTACCTTCGCTGCCCCATGCGAAATTTCCTTTTTCGATCCTCAATGCACGATATTTCAAGTTACCGCCTCGTGTACGGACATAGTGAATTCTACGAGCTCCAAGTTTGGTATTTGCGGCTGGACGTCCTAATTCGAACTTCCTCTTCTTACGGAGAGGTTTCCTTTTGCCTCCTGTGGCCCTTCGTTTATGCCAATGGTCTCTACTAATACCTAAAACATGTACAATTTATAATACCCAATTTTCAATAAATACCATAAATGCATATTTATGTGTAATATCAGATCGCTGTGGGATGTTTTTTTGTCGTCAGCACAACACATCGGACAATATTATAAATAAAGAGTTCATCATTGAAGTATGTTTTCCTAACTTCAAAAATTTTGGTTATGTTTTTCTAAATTTCATTTTTGAGATAAGAATTTAAAAAATAATTAATCTATTATCTAGAATATGTTAAAAGGACTTTTAAAAACAATATTTGCACTAAAAAAACTTACTACTCACGACGATGACCACAGATTAAACTAAAAATATTTTTCACTACTTACCCATTCTGAACGAATAAACTAAAAGACTAGAAGGAAGTTATCAACAGAGAACGTCATATTTTGAAAGAGTTTCCGGCTCTATTACTGACACTTGACAGAATCGCCAACTGTTAAATATTGTCTATACAAGATATACATTTTTCCTAAATAATTAATGGTCGGACTTTTAGATTACTAATATTTAGACTATAAAATAGTGCTATAACTTAATACAAAAGTATATTATAAATAAATATTATTGAAATAGGTAAAGTGTGACAAATTAGGAACTTTAGGATTAAATTGGTATTAATGATAAAAACATCAACGTCAAAATGTACGTTTGACTTTTGACTGCTTTTGACTTGACCGACTTGACACTTGACACAAAATCAAATTGTAAAAATGGCCGACGATTTAGAAGACGACAAATGGTTATATGGAGAAACTGCAGAATTAAATAATGGCGAAGCTGCTAATACAGATTCCCACGAATCAGAACAGAAAGAGGAGTCTGAAACACCTCAAGAAGAGGAACCTAGACCAAAAGAAAATGTAAATATGGTAACTGTTTTCTTTGCTAGAACATAACCTAAAATTTCTTTTAGGCCGAAGCCGAACGAGAAGATAGCCCGCTAACGCTGGGTATTGATACTGATGAAAGGGAAAGGCAAAATGATGAAACTAAAGATAGTATGGAAGATGGTGAAGTACAACAAAATGGAGACGATAGTGAAAAGGAGGACCTCGATGATGACAGCGACGATGATGTTAATGTAGTTATTGGTGATATAAAAACGACTACGCCTGCTTCATATACAGCTTTAAACATAAAAAGAGGAGGTTTACTTAGTGCTGTCGGTGATAAGAACAAGCAAATTCAGCAACAGCAGCAACCTGGAAAGTTTACAGTGGAAGAATTTGACCAAATTGGGTCTATAAATGGAGTACTAGCATCTGAATTTAATTTCGATAGTTTAGAGGATAAACCATGGAAAAAGCCGGGTGCTGATATCACTGATTATTTTAATTACGGCTTCAATGAAGATACATGGAGAGCTTACTGTGAAAGACAAAAAAGGTTTGTGTACATCAACAACTTAACTGTGCTAATTTCTTTGAATTTTTTGTCCTTTTGTTTGAAAACTTAATATTACATTTACAATATCTGTGTTGTTTGTTGAATGTTGTCTGCTTGGATATTAGGCTTCTGCTCAATTAGATCAAGGTATGAAAAATTGGATATCTCAGCCATATTCTGAGAGAAAAAAAATACGCAATTCCTCAACTAATCATCCAGGGAAAGATTGAAGGCAAGAGAGGAGTAGGGCACAAACAAATGTGACTACAGAACATAAATAACACTGGCGATCTTTTGCACTCTGCAAAAGACAAATGTCTGGCCTTAAGATAATTCACCAATGCACTATAGGTGCACTGCACTATAAGAAGAGGAAGAAGCTCTTTGGGTTCATAAAAATTTCAGTGTTTGCCTGTAGATACGTAATTTAATCAGTATTAATGACTTAAATCTAAGACTGAATACTGTATACATGTCATATGTGAAGACTATCTGAATCCTATTTCTCACTTCTTTTCTTCCTTCAGAGGTTGAAGATTATTACTTGATATTTTTTTTAGATGCTGTCTAATCTTAACCCTTTCGGTCACACTTTTTTTTATTGTAATGAAAAATATTTTGTTAATAATTCCTATCCAATTATGGTATTCTTAACGTCTTTTGGTAAGAATATTACCATTTTTTTTATTAAAATAAGGTCCGTTTTTGATGTCGTCAATTGACGACATTGTGACTAACTGGTTACAAATTAATGAGTATGACATATAATTTTACAGCTATATGTTAGGATAAAAATACATTTATTTACTTAAAAATATATTATCTATTTTATTTATTTATTCATTCCAACGGTAGAATCATTTACAATAAAATACAAAAACTGGTAAAAAGTAAAGATCATGTACAATAAACATCAAAACAATAACAAAGAAACAAGTAAACAGTTAAAATTTGTACATTAAAACAATATATCATATCACAAAAATTTAAAAAAAAGTATTAGTATCACATAGTAAGTATCACATATCTAGATTAATAGTCAGATTCTTAAGTTGCCTTTTAAAAGCATTAATGTTTATTCAGAAAGGATCCAATAGGAGGTCATTGCAAGAGCTGAGCATTCTTGACAGGGGAAAATGACAAGCATAATCAGTCCTATGAAAAGGAATATGAAAGAGTGCAGTGTGTCAAGTTCTATGCATTGTGTTTAAGTGTACATTGGCCAATAACGAGGGACAATTAATAACATTGTTCAGAATTTTAAACAAAAATAACATATCAGCTCTCAACCTGTGGTTCTTCAATGTATCAATGTTAAAATGAGACATTATTATATAATAATCTATGAAATAATTTTCAGTATTTTTTTATATTAATATGGGCTTTAAAAGCTAAAGATCTTAGAATCTGAACGCTCTCCAATTCATCAATGTATACTTGATGAAACAGGGACCAGACAACAGAGCAGTATTCAAGACCTGAGCGTACCAGAGAGCAATACAATAATTTAAATACAATAGATGAGAGATCATGACTGTTGCGATAAATAAAACCAAGATTACGAAATCATGTTTCCTTAATTTTAAGAAAATGGCTTCTAAATGTCAATGCACAATCCAATAATACACCCAAATCTCTAATCTCAGTAACTGAATCCAAGAGTACATCATTAAGAATATATCTATTAGCCATTAGGTTATTTATACGACCAAATGAAATACAAGAACATTTAGTTGGATTTAAGCTTAAACCATTTTGTTTTGACCATAAACATATGTTGTTTACATCATCTTGCAGGAGATCTCTATCCAATTTATTATGTATACAACGAAATATCTTAAGATCATCAGCAAATAGCAGGAAGTGTGAGTTTTTGATAGCCTTACCAATATCGTTAATGAACAAGTTAAAAACAAGGGACCACAATGAGACCCTTGTGGTACACCAGAATAACAATGAAATTCTTTTGAAATATAATTGTTAATATAAACTTGCTGTGTACATCCCATCAGAAAACTTTTAATCCAATTAACAATGGGGTCACCTAAGCCAGATGCATGAAGTTTTTGGATCAAAAGATTATGATTAACCTGGTCAAAGGCCTTTGAGAAATCAGTGTAAACGCTGTCAACCTGAATTTTATTCTCAAATGCACCCAACAAGTATTGTTGGTAATTGAGAAGAGAATACGGGAACTGCCTTTACATTCTGGGAGTTTACATCTTGAGATTTCGTTTCTGCATGCAATGGAAAATGCGCTATCCTGTCAAACTTTACATCATCAATAGGCCGGTTTTCCTAATTCTTTTTATTGTTCAATGGTTCTGATTTAATTCCATTTGACGGGCTCTCTATTTCTCTAGCTCCTATGCTGACATGAAATTAAAGCTTCTGCAATATAGGCCCTAAAATGAACTAAATCTAGTTTCTTTAGATGGCCGGAAAGAGGCCTATATATATATATATATATATATATATATATATATATATATATATATATATATATATATATATATAGTCCCAAGATTCCTAAGAGGAACATAGGGCTTCCACAAAGTGTCTCCAGCGAACTCTATTTCTGGCTAGTGCTTTGATTTCAAGCCAGGATTTTCCCATTGTTCTCCCTTCGTCCAGTACTGTCCTTCTCCAGTTCCCTTAGGTCTGCCTACTTTCCGTCGGCCTTGGGGATTCCAATCCAGTGCTGTCCTGGCAATGTCATTTGGCGGTCTACGGAGTGTGTGGCCAGCCATCTCCATTTTCTTCGCCTTATTTGCTTTATGACATTTTCTTGGTTGCTTTGGTTCCATAAATTTTCATTGGAGATTCGGTTAGGCCAAAATATACGAAGGATTTTTCGTAACGCTCTATTAATGAAAACTTGTAATTGGTGTACTATGGGTGCTGATATCTTCCACGTTTCGCAGCCATACAGTAATACAGCTTTTACATTTGTGTTGAAGATTTTTAGTTTAGTTTTAGTTGGGTAAATCCTGGATTTCCATATGTTGTTAAGCATGTTGTAGGCGTTGCGAGCCTTATTTATTCTTTCATGTACATCACGCTCTGTACCCCCATTACAGTCAATTATGCTGCCCAGATATACAAATTCCGCTACTCTCTCAATTTTCTGGTCGTTGATCATAATAGGTTGGTTGTTTCTGGTACCAAATCGCATTTCTTTGGTTTTGTTGGTGTTTATTTCTAGACCAACCTTCTTTGATTCTTCTTGTACTTTGTTTACTTGGAGTTGCATGTCCTGTTTTGTATGTGCTAGGAGGCATATATCAGAGGAAAGAGGCCTAAATGTCTTTATTTGACTTATTTTTAGATTTAATAATAACCGTGAAAAACTGTTTATTACTCAAGTCGTTGAGTCACTATGTCATCAAATGACGACATATGATTTCAAAAAAATAATTTGACATATTATGGAAATTTTGAAGTGTACTTACTATCTAATTTTATTATTTGCGCCTAGAAGCTTCCATTATTTGAAAAGAACAGAATTTATCTCAGTTTTAGAAGGGTAAAAAAATATAATAATTTTAGTAGCATTGATAGCTTTCATAAACCCCTGTGAATGTAAACAGAGACTGTGAAATTCAACATTTCAACAACATTCAAAACAACAAACACGTTGAGATTTATTTTGTCCAAAACCAAACCTAACAATGAACAAGAAAGGAGAAAGAATTGCATTTATAAAATACCTTGTGAATGCGATCAGTTTTATTTAGGTGAATCATCAAGGCCATTAAATGTTAGAATAAGTGAACATCAATCTTATATTAAAAATAGAGAATTTGATAGATCTCAAATATGTAAACACGCATGGGATAATGAACATAGGGTTCAATGGAATAATTCAAATATAGTCCTAAAAGAAACGGATGGTAAAAAAAGAATAATCAAAGAAGCGGCTCTAATTATGCTAAATGAGGCCAATTGTGTCGCAAATTCCTCAGCAGAATGTAGTAGGATCTGGTTACCAATATTGAAAGAGGAAGTTATTAATAGGAAAATACCAGTATTAGTAAGTCAGTAACATATAGAGGATACATCATTTATGTTTTTAAATAACGTAACATATAAAATCAGAATTTTTGATGTTTGTTGAAGGTAAACTAAATTCACGAACAAATACTTACAATGTCGGGATAGTATTATGAGGTTTTTTTTTTCCTGGTTTTTCCCTCATAATTTACTATGGAATCACTAACAGGAGAATTTTACTGTCATCATGTCATGTGTTTGTCTTTTTAAAGACGAATTAGATGCTATGATTTTTTCTGACGGATATTCTCAAGTTAAAAGTTGATTTCATGCAATCAAATGAACTATCTTATAAGTAAAGTCGTCCCAGGAGCGCAACTCAACAATATTGGCAATATCATTTTAAAGTCGTCTACTTTAAAATGCATAATGTATGTCTGAATTGTCAATATAAATGAGTCAGATAAAATTAAATTATTAGAAGAATTTTTTTTTCACTATGTAACAAAAAACAAAATTTGTTTAATTTACTGTTTGTATTTTGAGAACGATTTCCGAATTGGAAATTGAAACGTCAATAAAACGTATTTTTATCTTTAATTGTGGCTTATTCCCAGTTATAAATAGTAATTAATTTACAATGCCACAAGAAAATAGCTTCAGAACAATATATGATATAATACACAATACAGTTTGAGTTTATCTTCTTCCAAAACAAAAGAAATTACCTAAATTACACTAGTCAACAAATTAAAAAAAATTGCGACTGATGTTAAAATGACTGTACCAGGGGGTTTAAAGCATCCTGATTGCTAATTCAAACACCAAAATTTCTCACCATGTGTATTAATATATTAATATATTATACTATATATTAATAAGTCCAGAACTAGAATCAAAAACTATGGTAAGTCTTTTGTACACAAATTCTTTGCAAACACTGATTTCCGTTTATACTCTGTTTCACTTTCTCTCGTAAGGAACCAACAGTAATCTCCCATCATTGCTGCATCCCGTTTTTCCTGGTAGCGTTGCTCTATTGTGAGGATATCCTGGTGGAATCTTTCTCCTTGCTTGTCGCTGAAGCACAAAAATTTTCCGGGAAAAAATTTAAATGGGAGTGCTGAAGTATTTTTAGAGACATGCGACAGTCCATTTTGCAGTAATTTTTAAGTAGTTCTACAACATTTTGGTAATTTTCTCCTTTTTTGTTTCCCAAAAACTCGAAAACAATTCTTTTGAAAGAAATCCATGCAGCTAAATATCCCTTCTTTAAGCTTCGCGTCACTTAGCTTAAAAAAAATTGGTTTAAAATATTTAAACGCATCTCCTTCTTTATCTAATACTTTAACGGAATTTTTAATCAATCCCAGTTTAATATGTAACGGAGGTAACACGACGTTTTTGGCATCAACGAGAGGTATATTCTTTACATTAGCTTGACCTGGAATGTACTGATCTCTTGGTGACCATTCTTTAATTTGGTAATGACTCTGTGTTGCTCTACTGTCCCAAAGTCAAAGAAAACATCAAAATTTTGTAAATCCTCCTTAAAGACCTAGTAATAATCCGATTACTTTTAAGTCACCACATATTTGCAACTTTATGTATCATAGCTTACTGCATTTAGGATCAGCGACATACTTTCGTGTGTTTCTTTCATATCAACTGCATGCGCAAGAGGAATAGATATTTTTTTGTTGCCGGTATGGAGCAGAACTGTTTTAGACTTGATTTAGAAGAATCTATAAACAAACGTCATTCTTCTGGGTTATGTGTAAATTCTAATTTTTCCATAACACTATTTGGATTAACACACATTTTGTCATGCATGGTAAAAAACGAGGATAGCTCCTGGTTACGGTTCCTAAATATGTTAACTTTGGTTCCACTGGCTAGTAAATTCCATTGTTGTAATCGAGAACCTAAAAGTTCAGCATGTTCTTTGGACAGGTGAAGGTCTCGAACTTAATCATTAATTCAGTTTGTTGGATGAAATGGGGTGCTTATCATCGCTTTCGGGAAAATAAGAATCATCGGTTTTTGTTACATCATCGGGTTCACTTTTATCGTCATACATTTCCAAATCTTGCACAAATTATGCACAATGACTTTAAATTTTTTTTTTTATTAAAATACAAAAAAACAATTTTTTTTTTTAAATCATAACTCAAAAATCTTATGTGTTAGGAAGTTTTTATCAGCATATTCATGTTCAGAGAGCCAACATTAACAAAAAACACCATTTTGAATTTGAGTCGCAAATTGGTTGTAAACTAGTATTATCATCCTTTAACATGTTTAGTGCACCAGACTGGTGCATAGTATGTCTTTACTACAATTAAGTACCATAATTGTAGAGAGTGACTCGTTTTAATGGTTTTTATAGGCCAATAAAATTGGATGTTTACCCTTTAGAAAAAAAAATTGTTGGAATACTGATAAAATGAGAAAATTTAATTAGTATTTAATAAACAAATTAGTGGATTATTGCAGAATCTGTCATTTGTGGCCCAAGTCAGTCCTGTGTAACAGGCCCTCCCTACTCTACAGATATAGATAAATATGACTGACAGTAGTAACAGTGAACTGTATATGAAAAAGAAACGCCACAATATAACATATAAAGAAAAAACTATGATTGGAAATGTGTTTGTAGGACTTTGAACCAGAGAATAAAATATGATTGTAAGCGATATAGTTACATTGTGTAGTATTTTGACAAAAGATTTCGAAGCTATGTGTACAGAGATTGATACAAAGCTGAAACTGCGGATTGGCTTATTAAAAAAATAATAAATGATAAGGGTTAGTTTTCTTCATCTAAGGCATCTATAAAATGAGAAAATAATTTTTATGACAATAGATCCGTTCTAAAATCCTGAGCATTTTTTAAATAATAACTGCATGCCATAGTTGGTGTCCTTTCCCCTCAACCCCGCAAGGTCTATATTGAAAATATGAGTTACTTATACAATTGTGGTGCTGTGGTATACAGAATGTACATACCAATTTGGTCCACAGTATTATTGTGTTTAAATGTTGCTACAATACATTTGGTTTGAGATGAAAGGAGTGTGTCAGTGCTTTGGAGTTAAATGCATCAGTAAGGAAAATTGCTCCAAAAGTACAAGAGATTTTTTTTACTTAAAAATTTATATATTTATACACAAAAACATTTATTAATTTAGTCTTATTAAATATAATAAGAGTTTATTATATTATATATAATATAATATAAAATTTATAAAGATTGACAACCTTGAAGTGAATTCACATCACTACAATAGTAAATTGTACAGATGAAGATATGTAGATAGAGATGTAAAATATTTAGTAGCTTTTAATAATAACAGCTTCAAATGATTTTCAATTATAAAATGAGCTATTTATAAATTATATGATTTCAATTGTAGTTCAGTACATGATATTTATATAGAAATTGAATAATTGTTTCCAGAATACGAGTAAATGATTCAGGTACTGGCTTAGTACCAATGACCATGATGAGTGGATTGCCCCGTGTTCCTGTGCCAATAATGAATGATAACAGTAAATATACTGGAAATTTTGCAGGTAAATTCATACCTTTGAATTACAAAACCATCCATAAGGAAACTAAATTCCTGTTGGCTGTATACCATGTATCACAAAATTTTTATTTAAAGAATTCCTTTATAAAAGGTATATTAATATAAAAACCCTGTCAGGCACAGAACATTTTCGGAATAACTATTCCATCATCAGTGCTATCTGGATTTACATGTTTGAAGCCACTAAATATGTGGGTAAAAACACTTTAAATGTAGTTAGATTAACTTTGAATTACATCTTTCATATTTAAAAGCTATGCTGTTAAGGAATTATGGCAACATAGGACTGTACTGAGGTTGCTAGTTCTTAGACGAAGTGTCTGTGAGGACTAGCAACCCCAGTGCAGTCCCATATTGCCATGTGATCAATTCCTTTTATATCTTAAAGATCATAGTTTTTAAATATCAAAGATTCAAAGTTAATCTAACTACATTTAAAGTGTTTTTACCCACATATTTAGTGGCTCTAAACATGTACATCCAGATAGCACTGATGATAGAGTTATTCCAAAAATGTTCTGTGATCTAGCCTGATAAGTTTTTTTTATATTAACCCATTCACTGTCAAACTTCATTTTTTAAATTTTATAGCTTCTACAGGTCAATTTTATGTTCTGAACTTATAGAAAAATATTTTAAAATATTTAATTTAAATTAAAATTAAAACAATTTTGGAACATGGCCATAAGTAGGTAATAAAAAATCAACAACGGCAATTTAAACTTAAACGATTGTTGATAAAAAAATAATAACATTTTGAGAGGATCTATTAATTTTTTTCATGAAAAGATTTGAAACAATGGCAGCTAATCTGGAAAGCTCAACATAGATATTGCTAATGTAGTTGGAGATCACGTCAACCATCCAGATCTGTTTATTTTTAAGTAAATATTGCATTTATTTTGCTGTGTAGATTTAATTTGGGATAATAATATACCTCAGTGTTGTGCTGTTCCTTTGTATTCATCGAGAATATCAGAACACAGGTTTCTTAAAGATAATCTGATGAGAAAAAAGTGAATTGTGGCAAAAAGAAGAGATAAATATGTATGACAGAAATGAATTTACTCGTATCTACAATAAACTAAATATTATATATAAAGGATAATATTTGTATGCTTTATGTTAGCAAATTTTCGGAGCAACATAATTGATACAAATTAATAAAATTAACATAAATACTATTTATTTGTCTTTTATTTTGTTATACAGATTAAGATTATCTATTTCAGTAAGAAATAGTATTTTTCAGCCAATGCTATAACCATATACTACTCAAAAAACTCTTTGGCTTGAGGGATTATTTCATTATGAATTAAATCATTTTGTTTTGCCTATAGAAATATATCTCATATTCTTTTGTCCAAGTGAAAAAAATCACAGAACTCACGACCAGTGACTAACATCTGAGTTTGCACTTGATTATAATAATTTGAATTTAATTTCAAACGTAATTCATCTTTCATTTCTAAATATGGCAAACTATCAGAACTAATCATTGAATCTTTTATTGAATAGGGGTAGTTAACTTCTAACACAGTTAGTTATTTCACATATTCATCTGTTTTTGATTGACCAATAGCTATCAAAAAATTATTTTGCATCATACTGTAGTTTTTTCTGTGGACTGCGACTCACATGCTCATTCCTTCTGCTAACTTATAAATACATAGAAAATAGTTATTTATGTCAATGAAATCTATTTAAAGATTTTCTGAAGAGTAGTGAAATCCACATTAGTGACCATACAATGTCATGTTGAAAATTATTATTTCGGTCATATGCAGCCCAACCTATAATATAATATAGAATACCTAATCAGTTTCAGGACAGGCAAAGCAATGAACTTCTGGCAGAGACACAATATCTTTCATACATATATCAAAATGTTTTAAGGCAGCACAAAACTGTTTCAATCTATGGTAGGTAGCTAAAATTACCATATTTTAGTTACATGACAGTATAAGTTCAAATCAATGCTCAGACCAATATAAAAATTTCTATTATGGTCTAAGATGAACCAATGAAACATTAAGACGATGACTTATATAGTTTACTTTTCGATTATGTCTTTCTTTTTTTTTTTTCTAGTAATTCTCGCATTTCTTCTAAATTCTTTTATTAAGTCGCAAATAGACCAAGATCCGTATTTTTCTGTCATAATTTATTAAATCGCAATAATTGCAACAAAAATACCATACAAACCCAAAGAATTGTCAAAATGTGTTGACCTCCAACTACACTAGCGCCACCAAGCGGAAACAACGGCGTACATAGCTGCCATTAATAGAATCTACATTTATTGAGGGCTGAGTAGTACCTAGATATGTTGCCACAATGTTTCTTGTAAACCCTAATAAATCCAATGGACGCATACTTTCAACGAATTCATCAGCGTTAGATTGAATGTTATTGTGGTGGTGAATTCTATATAAAATCCATGCGTTAGAGATTGAAGCAGATAAAAGGAGAACAAAAATTTGCCACCATCATCTATTGTTACTCAGTTTTGGTCTATAGTTACCGATATTTCTATCCATTAAATCAGTACCTCCCATATGAGTATCTGAATTGCGTAGGGAACGTCTACCATTATATATATATATATATATATATATATATATTTATATATATATTTTATATATATATATATATATATCTATATATATATATATATATATATATATATATATATATATATGTATATATATATATATATATATGTATATATATATATATATGTATATAGATATATATATATATATATATTATATATATATATATATATTATATATATATTATATATATATATATATTTATATATATATATATATATATATATATATATTATATATATATATATATATTATATATATATATATAAGAAATACTTGATATTAGTGACTGTCGATATAAACAAACAAGATAGTTTATTAGGGTTGCAGTCAGAATATTAGCTGGGATGTTAAAAAAAAACACTATTTTGACTTTTTGTCGAGCTTTCGGAATGGTTTTATTCCTTTTTCAAGACACTCTAAAAGACAATTATGTAAATATTTAAAAATATCACAATTCTTCAGTGTGACTTACTAGTTGTTGAGATTATTTTTGTAAGCATTGACACTCAACATTTATACCACACATTAAAATATACAATTATGGACATAACACATCATAAAATTTGTTGAAAAAATAGTAAAACTTGATAGGTGGCATGTTTTACTGGTGTATATTAACTCATACAGAGAATGGAAAGAAAAAACAGTGTAATTAATATGTAATTAGGTGTAATTGATGTTATCTTTCTTTACAAGAAATACTAGAGGCCCTTTTTAGGTGACTATACTTTTTAAACCTGTCTTAATGTTATGCAACATATTATACAGAGGTGTAATTTTTGTACAGGTAAATATTTATTTTATTTTTGGTGTTTTTCTAGTAAATAACAATAAATGTTACTTAATTTGTCTATGTCGGTCTTTTTGTTGATGCAAGATGTGCTAGATTTTATGAAACACATTTCCAAAAAAACACGTTTTGAATGGTTCTTTTCTTTTGCCAAAATACAGGAATCATCGAAATTGAATTCATGTTTTAGAGTTAGTGCATGTAGAAGTAGAAGTGCATGTTAGAACAACTAGTAAGTCACACTGAAGAATTGTGATATTTTTAAATATTTACATAATTGTCTTTTACAGTGTCTTGAAAAAGGAATAAAACCATTCCGAAAGCTCGACAAAAAGTCAAAAGAGTGGTTTTTTTTAACATCCCGGCCAATATTCTGACTGCAACCCTAATAAACTATCTTGTGTGTATACATATATATATATATATATATATATATATATATATATATATATATATATATATATATATATATAATCTTTGCAGATAAGTTAAATAGTAAACTCTTAAATATTGGGGAAATCTGCAAAAAAACTCTAATGTGTATCAATTATTTCACCTAACGTTTTCGCCAAAGAGAATTTGGCTTCTTCAGGCCTGAAAGAGAATAAATTATGATTAGCTACCATATATTATCTAATAAAAAACATTTACCATACCGTGAAATTTTAGAAATGTCGAGTTATGATGTTAAAAAACTTTAGCTAGTAACAACATAGTGGTGTTTTTTGTTACTATGTGCAAAAAAGTTTATTTGTGAACGTTGGAAATGTATGGTAGCTTTGAACTTAAAACGCAAAGGTTTACCCAAGGACAATCGAAAAACACAATGTAACTACATTTAAAGGAAGTAATTCTTTAAATTGTCGGCAATAACTAAATTTTTAATTGTTGTAAAGTTTGAATGTGAACTTCTGTTTTCATAGAACGCAAGCGCCGAAACAATTACAAGTAGTTCTTTTGATATGTAGAATTGTAGTGTTCGTATAGTCCATGTGATGACCAGTGGAATGGACATGTTTGGCTAATGCACAGCGGTCAGGGTGAAGTCGAGAATCACTTTTGAATTGAAAATCACGTATCGTATCACGTAAATCAAATTATTGAAATCACGTATTACACTACACAAAAGTGATTCTCGACTTCACCCTGACCGCTGTGCATTAGCCAAACATGTCCATTCCACTGGTCATCACATGGACTATACGAACACTACAATTCTCCACCGTGAGAGCAATAAATCTAAAAGAGAGTTCATTGAAATGTCTTATATTTTCCTTAACGATTTTTCCATCAATGTTAAGAGTGACATTAAGAATCTAAGCGATATATACCACTTCTTACTTAAATCAGATACCAAGAACAATACAACATCACAGATAACCAACTTGACTGATATATCTATTAACAACTAACCTACTTTAATAATAATTTTCATTAACAAAAAAAGATAACATTCCCTTGCTTTTCTTAGATACATCTCAATAAGATATTATTACAATAATACATGAACAATATACTAATTAAAAAAAAAGAATTTCAATTAGAAATTCTAAACTAATATCTCCCCAGACTGGG